CCCTGTGGGAGGGAGATGAGTTCCCAGCCACAGCCAGGGAGGGAGGGAGTGGGATGCTGCAGGCTCCTGGACACACTTACTTATCATCACTCCGCCACACACTGAGAAAATTCACTTGGGCTCCCTTTCTTACAGGAGAAAAGGCCAAACCTCTTGCCCTTGTGTTTGAGGCCTGGCAACTGATACACTTATAGAAATAAGAGCACTAGCAAGTGTCAGGCCTGCAAAAAAATGGAAAGAATTTGCTTGCTTAAAAACATTCAAATTTGAGCCACACCCCACCTCTGAGCCTTAACAGAAAGAACATTTTTGCCTCCACATTCAAGGAGAAAGTGTAGCTATCCTTCAGCATCCACACCGGACTGGTTCGAGGATCCCTCCCTCTGGCCCCAGGAACCAAAGTCCACAGATGCTCAAGTCTTATACAAAATGGCCTCGTTTTTGCACAGACCCTACATACATTCTTCTGAATACTCTAAATCATCTTAGATTATTTATAATATCTAATTCAATGTAAATGCTATGTGTATAGATGTTATACTACACTATTTAGGTAATAATGAAAAAAATACCTGTACGTGTTCAGTATAGATGCCTTTTTTTATTTTTATTTTTATTTTTATTTTTTGACAGGCAGAGTGGACAGTGAGAGAGAGAGACAGAGAGAAAGGTCTTCCTTTGCTGTTGGTTCACCCTCCAATGGCTACCGCGGCCGGCGTGCTGCGGCCAGAGCATTGCACTGATCCGAAGCCAGGAGCCAGGTGCTTCTCCTGGTCTCCCATGCAGGTGCAGGGCCCAAGCATTTGGGCCATCCTCCACTGCACTCCCGGACCATAGCAAAGGGCTGACCTGGAAAAGGAGCAACCGGGACAGAATCCGGCGCCCCGACCGGGACTAGAACCCGGTGTGCTGGCACCACAAGGCGGAGGATTAGCCTAGTGAGCCACGGTGCCGGCCAGGAGGCCTTTTTTTTTTAAAGATTTATTTATTTAGAAAGTCAAAGTTACAGAGGAGGGGGTCAGGGGAGATCGAGAAAGAGAGACAGCGAGCGAGCGAGAGAGAGATCTTCCATCCACTAGTTTACTCCCCAGATGGTCACAACAGCCAGTGCTGGGCCAGGCCAAATCCAGGAGCCAGGAGCCTCATCTGGGTCTCCCAAGTGGGTGGCAGGCACCCAAGCACTTGGCCCATCCTCTGCTGCTTTTCCTAGGCCATTAGCAGGTTGCTGGATCAGAAATGAAGCAGCCAGGGCACAGACTGGAGCCCACATGGTTTGCTGGCATTGCAGGCAGAGGCTTTTTTGCTGTATCACAAGGCCGGTCCCAGATGCATCTATTTTTTGTGAATGTTTTTGATCTACAGTTGGTTGAATTCTCAGTTCCAGAACACATGGATGCAGAGGGCCACGTGTATTCTTTCTTCATAAGACTAAAATCTAATATTCATCTCAATCAAATGCTTCTCAGGGGTGGGCATTTATCCTAGAAGATGCCAGTTGAGATGCCTGCATGCCATAGCAAAGCACCTGTGTTCAACATCCGGTTCTGAGGATTGGCGTGGTAGCACAGTGGATTAAGTCTCCACTTGCAACATCTGCATCCCATATGGGAGTACTGGTTCGAGTCCCAGCTGCTCCACTTCCAATCCAGTTCCTTGCTGAATCACCTGGGAAGGCAGCAGAACATGGCCCAAGTAGCTAGGCACCTACCACCCATGTAGGAGACCAGGATGGAGTTCCTGCCTCCAGGCTTCAGCCTAACCCAGAGCCGGCCATTGCAGCCATTTGGCAAGTGAACCAGCAAATGGAAACCTTTCCCTGTCTCTGTCTCTCCCTCTCTCTATTGTTCTACCTTCAAATAGTAAATAAATCTTTTTTTAAAAAATGCTCAGCTCTGGCTCATGACTGAAGCTTCCCACTAATGCAGACCTCTGGATGCTGACGGCTCAAATAACTGGGTTTCTGTCACCCAGGGATCCCACTCCTGGCTTCAGCCTGGCCATCCACTGCTGGCATCCAGGGAATGAACTCATGAATGGGGGATCTCTCTCTCTCTCTCTCTCTCTCTCTCTCCAATAAATAAAATGATTTTTTCAAGTTCTCTTCATATTTTGGTATTTGCACACCTCAACAAACATTAAACCTGCTATTCCAGTGCTCTTGCACAGACCACAATAGTTTTGCAAACTGGAAGAGTTATCTCAGATTCTGTTTCCCCAAAGGCTTTTATTTTCTTTGAGCCTGAGCCAGTCCTCTTGCCCAAATGCCTGGACAAACAAAGGCTCGATCCTCCCTCAGCAAGATGCCAGCCCAGGAGGCCAGCCCCTTGGCTGCCACCTCTCCTCCCTGGGGGGCGTCCTGGGTTGTGTTGCTGAGCAGCCGCCAGTCAAGAACGAGCCTTCTGGCGTTTTAGTCACCAGTGTCCTGATGGCTGTTGGTCATTTGGAACTTGGCATTTGGGAATTCTCTGGTCCTGCAGCCTAAGAGCCGTGATGCCGGATAAGTCAGGAAAAGTGATGTCAAACTCTGGCCAACACTGAAAGGGTTGCTCCGATGCCCCGCAGTTCAGCTCTTGGAGAAGTAACTGGGTTGCCAGGGAGCTCCCGGTGCAGGCAGGAGCCGCTTAGCAGGACCTCGGGGATGGGCCTGCGGTTGGCCTTCTCCACGCACTGCTGAAGCCAATGTGCGCTTGCTTGCTACACAGTTCACTGTCTTGTCAAGGCATGCTCACAGCCTCATCCTGCTCGTCCCCACGTGACATGGGAGGTGTGCGAGACCCCAGGCTGCCAGCTCTGCCGTGCAGCCAGGGCAATCACAGCGAGTCTGGCTGTGGACCCTGGTAGCATCCAGCATCCCAGCTTCTCTCTGCTCTCGAACGTCATCACACAGCAAGCACACAGCCCCTCCTTTCCAGACGGGTCTTGAATGTGTTTTTTCCTATCCCCAAGTCCTTCCTGCTTTGCAACAGATCTGAAACAACAGCAAATCCTTCCTGATTCTCCACCTTGCCCCTTTGTTAAGAGCCTCCTCGCACACTTTGGTGTTCGTCCGTTATGGAGGAGTAAATGCCCTTGGACTTTGTGCGATCTCTTCTGACAAGTCCTGGGAAGCCCGGGTTGAGGAGGCTGCTGAAGGGAACAGCTTCTGTAGCAACTCTGTGTGGAGGAGCTTGGCCAGGAGTGGGGCTCACTGCTTGCCCACTGCTTGGCCTGTGGGGTTTTGGGAAGTCGGATAATCAAATGTTGTACACGGTGCTAGCTCCAAGTTCAAGACTTGGTGTGCACTGAGACATGTCACACAGGATGCATGAGGGATAGAAGGTGGATCCCAAGACATCCTGCACACTATCCATCTAGAACTCCAGAAAGACAAAGCTGGAGTGTGACGGGAGCGGGTGTGTAGCACAGCGGTCAAGATGCCAACTGTGATGCCCCACATCCCACGCTGAAGGGCCTGGGTTCAATTCCTGGCTCCACTCCCAAACTGAGCTTCCTGCTAACGTGGACACTGTGTGTGACAGCTCAAACAGCTGGATCCCTACCACCCACCTGGGAGACCTGCTTGAGTTTCTGGCTCCTGGCTTCAGCCTGGCTCAGCCCTGGTTGTTACAGGTTCCTGGGAAATAAGCTAGTGGATGGAAAATCTCTCTTTCTGTCACTCTGCCTTTCAAATAAATAAAGTACATAAGTAAAGACAACTTTTTAAAAAGCAAGACTATGGGGGCCAGCATTGTGGCTCAGCAAGTGAGGCCACCACCTGCAGCACCAGCATCCCATATAGATGCTGGTTTGTGTGCTGGCTGCTCCAGGCAGAGTGGACAGTGAGAGAGAAACAGAGAGAAAGGTCTTCCTTTGCCGTTGGTTCACCCTCCAATGGCTGCCGCTGCCAGTACGCTGCGGCCGGCGCACCGCGCTGATCCGATGGCAGGAGCCAGGTACTTCTCCTGGTCTCCCATGGGGTGCAGGGCCCAAGCACTTGGGCCATCCTCCACTGCACTCCCGGGCCACAGCAGAGAGCTGGCCTGGAAGAGGGGCAACCGGGACAGAATCCAGTGCCCTGACTGGGACTAGAACCCGGTGTGCCGGCGCCGCAAGGCGGAGGATTAGCCTAGTGAGCTGTGGCGCCGGCCTTGCTCCACTTCTGATCCAGCTTCCTGCTAATGGCCTGGGAAAGCAGCAGAAGATGACCCAAGTGCTTGGGCCCCTGGCATTCATGTGGGAAACCCGGAAGAAGCTCCTGGCTCCTGGCTTTGGCCTGGCCCAGGCCTCGCTGTTGTGGCCATCTGGGGAGTGAAGCAGATGGAAGACTTCTCTTTCTGTCTCTGTCTCTCTCTCCTCCCTCCACTGCCTCTATAATTCTGCCTTTCAAGTAAATAATCTTTTGAAAAAAGAAGCAAAGAGAAATGTGTAGCAAGGAGAAGAAAGTCTGTAAATACAGTTCTCTATCCTTTCTTCTTGTTCTCAAAGCTTTCTTGGGCATTTATAACATCCCAAAATGCATCTGCAATTTCAATCATTCTTTCGGCTTTCTTCCCTATGCCCTACCTCCCAAGCAAACCAGATTCAGAAAACACTTCTGCGTCCAAGAGTGAGTACCTGCCAGGCAACTGCATAAGAACAAACAGAATGTAACGCAAACATATAAGAATTTGTTCTTTCTTGCTGAAAACATTAGCAAAGATCTGCTTTTCCCTGTGACTCATCCAACATATTTACACTTACTTAAACTGTACATGCCCACTCGTCCCAGTTGGACTTTTTAATAGGGTTGCTTTAACCAACCATGGGCTCCACCTTCTCCCTGCTGTTTGGGGTTGGCTTCCACGCTTGTTTTCTGTGTTAATGAAAGGTGGCTCTTCATACTCGCCTCCCTTCCTAGGGGCACATGGGGAGCTTAATGAGACGTTTCTGAGCCTCCCTGCTTCTAAGGAAGGCAGACGTGGTGTGAACACGCACACAGGTGCCCTGAGGCCCCTCTGACTCCTGTCTGCTTACCCTTCCAGGCTCCAGAGCCAGGTGCACCCTCACCTGGTGAAGGTGATGCTGAAGAGCTCCCCCCAGCCCCTGCAGAACCAGAGGAGCAGAGATGGAGCCGGGATGCTGACCACGACGACTTTGAGACACTGTCCCATCAGAGTGAAAGCCGATCAGACACAAGGACCGAGCTCTTTGAAAGCGCCTCTGACGCAGAGTCTCTCCTGGGTGACCTCGCAGGTGAGGTCTGCCTCCCTCCAGGTGGCTGCTCGGCAGTCCCAGCAACGATACCTCCTCAGGAGCCACACTTGACCTGTATCCCTTGGTTGGATGCAGAAGAGCTAGATTTGTCCCCTGGCTTAGGGGAAGAATCGCGCAAGAATGAGCTGCCAGCCTCTGCTGCAGTTACTGGAGAAGGGGAGGTGGAACAAGTTTGGGACTGCGTGACCAGCCTGGAGCGAGAGTGTGTGCTGGCAAGTGCTCTCCGACATGCAAGGTGCTGCCCGCAGAATGCCAAGGACGGCAGCAGTCCCCAGCCTGCACAGCGGGTGACCGCTCACGACGCCAGGGAGCTCCCTGCTGTTCCTCTGCAGAAATCCAGGTCTGAGAGCTGTCTCAGCATCCCACGGGTCTGGCCCTTGCTACTCCAGTGCTGTGAACTTGGTCAGAGCTGGCCGCATATCCACAGCAGGCCTAGGGCACCAGTACCACCTTACAGAGGTCCACTGGACAACACAGCCCCTCTGGGAGCCAGGACAAAGAAGGGAAGTGTCCCCAGCACCACAGTGGTCCCAGACTTGCCCTGGGCCCAGTCTTGCTTTGACAGCCCCTGCCAGTTTCCAGTGTGGCCATCTTGCCTCCTGCACAGCAAGCTGCACCACAGCGTCCCGGAAAACATTGGTGACGCGGGCAGGGCAGTCCCAGGGCACCGCTGCCGGCACATGAGGACACTGAGCAGGGCTCATTCCACAGCAGGGTTTCCCTTAGGTTCCCCTGAGGAGCCCGTGGGGCCGAACTGTGCGGCATTTGGAGTTCATTCAAAGGAAAGGGCAGAGACAAGAGAATCAAGCACACCCAACGGCCTTTCCCCTGCGCCCACCCAGCTGGCTCACTCACTTCCCACTTCCCCCAGGGGGCCTCCTCACCTACAGAGCCAGTGCAAACACAGCGGTTTCAGCTCAAGAAGGACCTCGCGGGACACGCCCTCTGCAGGTGTGCTGCAGGTAAACCAGCAGGGACAGGACTCCAGGCCGCGCCCGGTGGTGAAGCTCCGCCCAGGAGTGGTGGCCGGGCCCTTGGAGTGCAGGTCAGAACAGAGCCCAGCAAGCCGACCTGAGCAACCCCAAGGCCCTCGCCCTGCTGATGGCAGAGACACACAAAAGCACCTTCAGGGAGGAGCTATTGAGGCAGGAAGCCAAACCAGCGATGACGCATCCACGTATGCTCTCAGGGAGCAAAGAAAGCTGCCCCCCACCAGTGCCAAGTTCCCACACCACTGTAGCCGTGGCGGGACCCCCGCTTGGAAGACAGACCCGATGGGTGGCTTGGAAGTGAATGGTGGTTCAGAGACTCCCGAGAACTCCACGAAGTCAGCAGCAATAGTCACTTCCGAAGAAGCACAAGAGGCGTTGGTTCTCGACCAGCACTGCAGAAAAAATGCCTCGCATGGTCGTTCTGAACTCGGAGCCCCTGACGGCAGCCCTGGGGATGAGGAAGGTGACCGGAAGCCTGCAGGGGGCACCCAGCCCTTCACAGCCGGGGCCTCCAGTGGCAGGTGCACGCTCTTCATTATAGCTGTGGAGCATAAAGGCCTTCAGGCCACCACGAGCAAAGCCGGGCCTCTGCCCGGAACACAGTCCAGAGGCTTTACAGAGCAAAGAGAGCCATTCCCCAGCAGGACCGGCACGACCCCCTGGGGGTCCCCTGGGGACAGGAAAGCAGCACCAACGTGTAGCACGGAGGGTGAGCTGCCAGCAGCCCCCGCATTGGGGGCAGGCGATGGGGCTCTTCAGCGCGTGGCCCAAGCCACAGAGCTTGGAGCTCTGGTCCCTCAAGCCGATTCGCGGGAAACATTAGGCACAGAGGCGGCCCCGGAAGAGAACTTACCTGGGGAGAGCCAGAGCCCCAGGCCTGAGGATGCACACCTGGTCGAGGGCCCCAGGCCGCCGAGCCCTGAGCAGGACGTGGTGGACGCGGAAGAGCGCGCCGGCGTCCTAACCCACGAGGACCACGAGGCCCGCGCCCACACGCTGCAACCGGCGGGAGCCCCCGGCCAGCTCTGCAAGGCCGCGCAGGAACCGGGGAAACGCCTGGCGTTTTCCAAGGTGATCTCCTTTAGGAAAGGCAGGCCCGGGGCCACTGAGAGCCCAGAAGGCGCCATGTCGGCCCGCGAGGAGCTCCACGCGGAGAGTCCCTTAGGGACTGGCTGGGATCCGGCCTCTCGGGAGCACGTGGGCGACAGCGCGTCCCTCGAGCCGGGCCCAAGGTTGGCAGCAGGCGGCGAGGCAGCCACCCCAAGGGAACTCGGCGGCAGGAGCCCATCCTCAGAGAACTGCCACGCCAAGACACTCAGAACCACTGAGAAAAGGCTCAGGGCGAGGCTGGCCTTGGCTCAGAAGACCGTGTCCCATTTTTTCGAGTCCAGAGTTTCCGAGAGGGAGCGCACACGGGACCGGCCTCCAGCGCCTCTCAAGGTCGAGGACAAGCGCCGGCCGCGCCAGAGCTCCTGGCGCGTGTTTCTGAGAAGCAAAGGGCCCCCCGAGGTAGGTCTGCTTCCAGGATCAGAGCCCCAGGAGCCCCCCAGCCCCTCCACCGCCAAGCCCGGGGGCCGCTGTGCGGGGCAGGCCGAGGACGCCGACGGTAGTGTGTTCGAAGACCCCTGGACACCCCCACGTACCCCTGCGCCTTTGGCCTCGTCTCCCGGACTCAGGAGGAAAAGCGAGCCGGCCATCAAGTGTGCCGCACCCCACAATGGTGGCAGGTGCCTGTCCTCTGGCGCCTCCCCTCGGGCCCAGCAAGCGGGGATCAACCGCAGCCTTCCCTCCAGCTCTGCCTGCTGCCTAGCTTCTGAAGACCAGGCTATGCCCTGCAGACCCATGAGCCCCAAGCCCCGGAGCCCCCGGCCAGGCGTTCAGCGAGGGGACCTGCGCTACACTGGCAGGGGCAGTGCCATCTCCATGGTTTCTCTGGGCAGCTACAACGACGTGCACAGCACCGCGGATAACTCTGGAAGGCTCAAGTCCCCCAAGGCCCGGACAAGTCTCCTGCTTTCTCTGCAGACGCTTACTCACGACGTTCAGAACGAAGAGTGTGCGAGGGGAGCCCCGCGTAACCCCGGCCTGACTGTGGGGCCCTCGCTCCGGGACCTTCCTGGAAGTGAGGTGAGTGAACTGTGAATGATGCCAACCCCTTTGGGCATCCCTGAAGGCATGAGGAGGAGGGAATGGGGCCGGCATTGCAACTCAGCGCGCTTTAAGCACTACCTGCCATGCTGGCATCCCATATGCACACTGGTTCAAGTCCCGGCTGCTCCACTTTTGATCAAGCTCCCTAATGCGCCTTGGGAAAGCAGTAGAAGATAGCCCAAGTGCTTGGGCCCCTGCACCCACGTGGGAGACCTGAACCAACACCCATATGGGATGCTGGATGCTGGCACTGCAGACTCCAGATACTCTGATTTCTATGTATCGGGACCCTTGGGACTCATCTCCAGTTATTCTGAAATGCACGAATGAGTCCCGCTGCCCTCAGAAGGAGGGAGCTTTTTAGAAATTCCAGAAGTATTCTGAGGACAGTGAAAGGAAGCTTCCCTTCTCTCCTTCAGACAAAGTGGCATTCCTGCCCCCAGCACCACGCAGGCATGCAAGGTGTAAGGACACAGCAGCCATGTGCAGGCCATGCCACACTCACTGCCAGGGTCCTCTGGTGCTGCCCCCTATCCCTACGTGTCCCCCTCTGGCTGGTGTCAGCGACCCTAGGTGCTGCTCCAGTGGGCCTCCTGTCCCAGAACAGATGCAAAGCCAGGAGAACCCTAGAGTTAACTGCAGGCCCCAGTGGGCAGCAAGGAGAGGCGGCCCTAGAGGAGGAGGGGTCTCCTGGTGGTGATGTGATGCCACGACCCTGGAAGTAAACGACATTATTTTTATTTGCTTATTTGGAAGGCAGAGAGTCACAGAGAAGGAGAGACAGAGAGAGAGAGGTCTTCCATCCACAGGTTCACTACCCAAATAACCGCAGTGACTGAGACTGGGCCCGGCTGAATCCAGGAGCCAGGAGCTTCTGCCTGTTCTCCCAGATGGGTGCAAGGGCCCAAACACTTGAGCCATCTTCTGCTGCCTTCCCAGGTGCATTAGCAGGGCGCTGGGTGAGAAGTGGAGCAGCCAGGACTCAAACCGGCGCCCAGGGATGCTGGCACTGCAGAAGGAGGATTAACCTTCTATGCCACAGCACCGGCCCCAACAGACTTTCAAACGCCATCACTACCAGCTCAAGTTTGCTGCCCCTTCTTCACTTCACCTATTTCCTCATCTCTTGAGGTTAGGGCTTTATTTTTTTTTTCTTTTCAGCTAAATTACTGTTATTAAACTTTTTTTAAGTCAAATAATTACAGCAGACATAATTCTGATGGTGCTTATGTCAGGGCTCTCCAGAGAGACAGACCCAACAGAATAACAGAATACACAGATGGATGTGAGAGGGGATTTATTAGGGGAGTTGGCTCATGCAATTATGAAGTTGCACAACAGACTGTCTGCAAGCTGGAGACCCTGGTGTGATGACAGCTTGGCTCAGTCCAAGTCCCAAAGCCTCAGGACCAGGGAAGTGGATGTTGTGACCCTCACTGTGAGGCTGAGGGTCCGAGAAGCCAGGCAGGGGGCAGTGTTGGTGTGCGTCCCGGAGTCCACATAGAGCCTGGAGTTCTGATGTCCAAGGATAGTAGGAGAGTAGTGTATCCCGAGAGAGATGGGGCGGGGGTGGAGAGAGAGAGAGGGAGAGAGAGGGAGGGAGAGGGAGGGAAAGGGAGGAAGAGGGAGGGAGAGAAGAGAGCCCCATTTTCTGTGTTCGCCCCATCTGGCCCCCAGCCTGCTCTAGGGGCAGATCCTCCCATCTCATCCACTTGAATACATGTGCTAATCTCCTACAGTAACACCCCATCAGACACTCCAAAAACAATGCTTTACCAGTTCTCTAGGCATTCCCTGTTTTTTTGGGAAAAAAATAACTTTTTTTAAGATTTACTTATGGGGCTGGCATTGTGGCACAGCAGGTAAAACCGCGGCCTGTGATGGTGGCATTCTGTATGGGCACCAGTTCGAGTCCCGGCTGCCCCACTTCTGATCCAACACCCTGCTAATGTGCCTGGGAAGGCAGAGAATGGCCCAAGTGCGTGGGCCCCTGCACCCGCATGGGAGACCTAAAAGAAGCTCCTGACTCCTGGCTTCGGGCCCAGCGCCATCCGCTGTGGCCATCTGGGAAGTGAACAAGGGGATGAAAGGCCTCTCTGTCTCTCCCTTTCTCTCGAACTCTTTCAAAATAAAGAAATCAGTTTTTAAAGTCCTTTTAAAAAACTCCTATCCATCAGAGTACTGTAACATGTACTTGCACTCTCTTTCATTAATGTCCCTTTCATAAATAGGGCTTAGAGAGGGAGATCTGGAGCAGTGGGTTCCACAGAGGAGTCACACATATATTGCTCTGTATCGACTGGGGTAGGGAACCTTTTGCTGCAAAGGGCCATGTGGATATTCAGAAAAATATTCATGGACCATACAAAATTACCAACTTAAAAACGAGCCTGTGGATGTACTGAATTTCGAGTCCCGCCTGTGTAGCCTTGGCAGGGCCAGACCCAAAGTGATTTCACTGGCCTTATACGGCCTGTGGGCTGAGCGTTCCCCACCCCTGCCCTACAGCCTTCCAGTGACTTCTATTGTTCTCTACTTGGAAGCTGCACAGTATTCATAGCACAACTATACTGTAGTTCTCCAACAATTCTTCTGTTGATTGACATCACGGTACTTTCTCGTTTGAGTAATTATACATAATGCTGCAATAGCAACCTTCAGCACATGTCTTTGGGTACTGATGCTTTTGTTTCTGTAAGATACACAAGAGGCACTGGACCATCAATGGGTATCGTATTTATGGTAGATATGGGATTACTTTCTGAAATAACTGTGGCAGTTGACAGTAACATATACGAATGTCCATTTCCTGACACTCTTGTCAACTTAGTTGCTGATCAACTTTTTAAAATTTTGAACACTCGATTCAAAAATAAAGACATTACAACATCAACTCATGAGGCCAGTGTTGCAGGTAGCAGGTAAAGCTGCCACCTGAGATACCAGCATCCCATATGGGCACCGTTCCATATCCCAGCTGCTCCACTTCTGATCTAGCTCCCTGCTGATGGCCTGGGAAAAGCGGTGGAAGTGTTTAGACCCAAGTGTTTGAGCCCCTTGCCACCCATATGGGAGACCCGAATAAATTCCTGGCTCCTGGCTTCAGCCTGGCCCAGCCCCAGCTGTTGCGGCCATCTGGGGAGTGAACAAGCAGATGGAAGATCTCTGTCTCTCTGTAACTCTTTCAAAATAAATGAATAAATCAAGTAGCCAATGAAGACTTGGCAAGAACTGACAAGCTTTATACAACAGGAAAACAAACATTCCCAGAGGCTGTCCCCATGTTCACTTGGGTGCTGGGCATGGGATGGAGCAGGTGCAGTGGGCCTCGGGCAAGTATCTGCACAGCCTGCATGAGTCCCAATAAGCAGTAAGTGCCAGGGGTGGTTGCCAAGTGCCCAGCTTAAGGCAAGGCAGTATGCTGGTGCTTGGTGTTAGTTCCTAGTCCTATTTCCCTTTCAGATCTTACTGGAAAGCAGGAAGGCACAGCATGTTTTCACATCAGACCAAACACAGGTGAACACCAGATACACAGGGAAAAGGAACCACTGGGAAAGAGAAGAGAAAAGCTGGCTGTCCCTCCAGAACCCTAGCTGCTAATGGAACATGAAACTCCCCTTAGAGTTATGAGTGCTCCACCTTGTGGACATTTCTGGGAGAGCAGGCTGTGGTTTTCAGGGTGCTTTGCAAGGAATTCAATCAGCATTCCCATTTCTTGCTTTTAAGAGCAGCAGCTCTTTTATTCCAGTACCTCAAGTAAACCATTCTTCACATTTCATTCATTTTCTTCCAGCTTTGCTTTCTATAAACAAGCTTTATCTATTTAACGCAGTTGTGATCAGACCGTCTAGGGAGGTTTTAATGTTCTATTTTACATCCCACCATTTCTTTATTTCAAGCCTTCAAGTTGGGGGGGGGGGGGGGAGAAAGTCATGAAAGTGTAATACATAGATTTATAAAAACAGAGTAACCTGCAACCAGGTCAAGAAATACAAGGGGACGGTGTTGTGGCACAGCTTGCGATGCCAGGAAGTGTATATAGAGAGCCAGTTCAAGTCCCAGCTGCTCTGCTTACAAAGCAGCTCCCTGCTATTGTACCTGAATAAGAAGCAGAAGATGGCCCAAGTACTGGGGCCCCTGCCACTCATGTGGGTGACCCAGATGGAGTTCCTGGCTCCTGGCTTCAGCATACCCCAGCCCCAGCCATTTGGGGAGTGAACCAGCAGATGGAAGATCTCTATTTCTGTGTGTCTCTCTCTGTCTCTCCCTCCCCCATCACCTGCCTTTCAAATAAATCTTTTAAAAAAGACCTACATCTCTGTTTCTTCCTCTTTCTGTAACTCTGCCTTTCAAATAAACTAAATAAATCTAAAAAGAAGAAGTACAACAAAAACCCACCCACCCACCTTCCCCTTCCTGCCTTTCCTCCCCTCAGGCTGTACTCATTATGTAAGATTTCATGATACTCACTCTCCTCTCATTGTGATGTTACCACCTCATTGTAGAACCCCAGTGTTAAGTGTGGTGGCCTTTTTTTGATTTTGAGCCTCATCCAGTGAAACCTTATACAGTCCCTTAAACCTCAGTCACTGGCTTTCCTAGCTGCCTTCCCTGGCTCTATGTAGTAAGACTCATGCTGTGCTGTGTCTGAAGTCCTTTCATTTTCACCACCGTGCGGGGTTGCTCAGAATCACTGTCACACCTGCATTTCTCAGTGGCTGTCAATGGATGTGGGAACTGCTGTGGACGGCGCTGCATACGCATTCATGCACATGCACCTGCCTTTCTGTTGGGGTCATCCCCAGGAGTGGACTTGCTATGCCCGCAGAGGGAGGCACAGCCTCAGTTCTACTAGGTGGTGTCAAGTTATTTCTCAACAGTGCCTGAAGCAGTTTACTGTCCCCTATGGGGTGTTTCCCTCGACCCACATACTCGCTAGCACCTGGTGAAGCCTGTCTCTTTCATCTGCTAGGTCT